TAGCTTTATTTTCTATAGTAGATTAGTTTAGGGGATTGAAAAAAATAATGGTAGTACTAGTAACTGTACTTCAGATGATACAAGATTGAATGATTACCTTGAGTACCATTTCATGTTTTTTTTTTTCCCTTTTTTTTTTTTTTCGGGTGAAAGAGTACCTCTTCTTGTTTTGATTGCACAAAAGGTTCTGAAGCATTGGCAGGCACCTGCACTATTAAATAATGCCCATCCTTATTTTTAGCTTTATTTTCTATAGTAGATTAGTTTAGGGGCTTAAATATTTTTAGTTGAAAGTTAGTGGGCAATAAAGTCCTCAACTTATTAAGTTGGAGGGCTAGCGAGGTGTTTTTCCTTATCGGAATGCCCACTTTGCCCCCAATTCAACGTTCCTCTTTCATTAAATTAATTCGAAAAATCCTAACAATTTCCAGTTTCGGAAAAGCACAGTAATCTGTCTTTATAAATCAACTGCCCACTTGGGTTCGTCTGGATTCTAGGGTTTCTCTGCTTTGCACGGGACAAAACCAGAGGAGCTGTCTTTCAAAACTCTTCTTTTTTTCTCTTCTTCCCCTTCTCTTCAATTTTTCCTCACTTTGCTTTTGCTTTTTCTTCCTTGCCAAACAGATCTCTTTCTGCATCTTCAATTTCAAAATCCCATCAAACCCTACACCCACCTAGGCTTCTCCTTGAAAAATTTTGTATTTCTCTCGGAATTTCCAGCTTGTGGCCTAATGCAACACGCTGATCCCGCCGACATCCCTAATGAATCGGTTGAAAATCCCAAGAAGGAACAGAGACAAGATGAAGGTGCCGCCCCCACCGCTAGCACGACCAGCATCGATAATGAGGATAGGAGCAGCTCAAGTACTGGCGAGGAGTTGGTTCTCGATATTTCTGGTAAAAGCTTGGATTTTCCTTTGCTTGAGGACTCCGTGGGATCGTTAGAGGGGGTTTATGTGTACAGGAATGTTTTCAATTTGATACCGGGATCGGTGGGTAGGTTTGGGAGGCTAAGGAATTTGAAATTTTTTGGGAATGAGGTTAATTTGTTGCCGGAGGAGGTTGGGGATTTGGTCGGGTTGGAATGTTTGCAGGTCAAGATCCCGCTTCTGGGGTTTAGTGGGTTGGCTTTGAGCAAGTTGAAGGGGCTCAAAGAGCTGGATATAAGTAGGATACCGTCTCGGCCTTCTGTCTTGACCATGTTGAGCGAGATTGCTGGGCTCCAATACTTGACCAAGCTTTCTGTTTGTCATTTTTCTATAAGGTATCTACTATCTTTGCGTGGTTTATGTTTTAGCTCGTTAAATTGTTTAAATTTATGCACTGTCGTTGGTAGCAGTTCTAAGTAGTTTCAGCCCAGTGGAGTTTTAATTGAATTGCACACTGCTATAGGAATTGGTTAATTTTCAATTATGTGATCCGTCTGTTTGGAGTTTTTAAAGATAGGAACTGGCTTTACTGCTGCTCTTTTTATTTAAGAGCCATATGCAATACTGGCATATAAGATTTGTAATATTATATGGAGCTGCAAAATGGGAAGCTCGGAGAATACTTGATGGGATTGGGATTACTTTAGAATGATGTAAGAAAGAATGTTGTGTCACTGTAGGCTAGGTGTTGTCTTTGTTTAAGGTGTATTTCCAATTAACAATAATAAATAAATAATGAATATGTAATAGGTGAAATTCAGATCATGATTAAAAGTGAAGTTTTTGGCAAAATTTGTGCCAGTCTTGGAACACTTTTTATGACTTTGTCTTATTTCTCCCTTGCAGATACCTTCCTCCAGAAATTGGCTGCTTAAAAAAGTTGGAACACTTGGATCTTTCATTCAATAAGATAAAGAGTTTACCCACAGAAATAACATATTTGACTGCCTTGATATCATTAAAAGTTGCCAATAATAAATTGGTGAAACTCCCTGTGGGTTTGTCCTCCTTGCAACAATTAGAGAACTTGGATTTGTCAAATAATAGGTTGGCTTCGTTGGACTCTCTTGAACTGGGATTAATGTGTAACCTTCACACATTGAATCTTCAGGTACCTATCTTACAAATCTAGATTGAATTAACAAGCCATTCCTTTTTCTTTTTATCTCATCTCATTTGTAATTATGTGCGCTGCTGAATTGTGATAGTCCTTCCCTCACTTGCGGTTGCTTTTTTTTGGAATGCTGTCAGTTTTCTCTTTCGTTTTGTTGTAGAATTATATGTTTTGCCTATGTATTCCTTCTTATGCAGCATAACTTAATATTATAGATTACTTTAATTAATATTGCTTTGCCATTCATCAAAACACGTTTGTTTCTATTGTTTATTCTGATTCTGTACATTGCCCCAATTGGAATTTGTTGGCATGCTTGATTCTTCTTGGACTAGCTTGTTAGTTGCTGTGAAATTTGTGTTTCCTGATACTTAATAGTAGAAGCTCCACCTATGATGCTAGATTCATCATGTTGGTAGCCAGATTGATATTATCATGTAACTGTGTATTTGGGCTGGGGGTATTTGAACTTGCCACTTTTGGTTAAGGGAGTATGCTCTTTACCAAGTGAGCAAAAGCTCAAATGGATATGACATGCATTTATAACTTAAATCTATTTTTTCTTTTTGTCCTAACTACGTTGTCATCATTGTTCCAGTACAATAAACTTCAAAATTGTTCTGACATACCTTCATGGATAAACTGCAATTTGGATGGAAATGCCAATGCCATGTTCAATGATGACCTAATTAGCTCTTCAGTTGAGATGGATGTATTTGAAACTGCCATTCAGGATGATAATCGAAGTCCATACTATGGTAAGGTTTTGGATTTGCTTTTCTCTTTATGTACCCCTCCATTTTCAGTTTTATAGTCTTTGGGACATGGGGCTACACACTAAGTTGAATCTTTCCAAATTGATGCAGGCTCTTGTCATGGTGTCTCTTCAGGCATATTGACTGTGTCCTCATCAAACAATAGATGTTTTGCGTCTCGGAGGTCGAGTAAGCGATGGAAGAGGAGACATTACTTGCAACAAAGAGCTAGACAAGAACGTTTAAACAATAGCAGGAAGTGGAAGGGGGATGGACATGCGGAAGTATTGATTATGGAGTCGGGTGGAAATGCACCTGACAATATTGCCCTTACTTCTGACACTTATGCAGAAGGTGCATCAGACGTTATAGTCCTTGATGATGATGAAAAGCCCTTACTTTCTGCAGAATCCAAAAAAGAAAATTCAGGTGTCAGACTTGAGGAGACTAAACTTAATTCCCAGAAGGGGATCCGTGTTGAAAATGGTTCATCCATTGAACTTAAGGTTAAAAGTAGAAAGTCTAAAGATGATTGTTCTGCTCATGATGCAGCTTTGGCCACACTACTGGACAGAGAGCAGGATGAAGGTTCATCATCAGAACTATGCAGATCTACTACTAAGTCTAAAAGGCATTCTGATAGGGATCTTGATAATCCAAAACCATGCAAGTCTCGCAAAGGAACAGATTATAGCCTTAGTTTATCACGCAAGTATAGTAACATGTCGTTTTGTGGTACTGAAGACCATCTACCAGATGGCTTTTATGATGCAGGACGTGACCGGCCCTTCATGCCACTGCAGAGCTATGAAAACATTTTGCCTCTTGACTCACGTGAAGTTATTCTCATTGACAGGTTATTTGTAGATGTGAATTATGTTGATATATTGCTTTCTGATAAGCATGTTTTACTAGATTTTATTTATTGATTCTCTGTGTAGGGAAAGAGATGAAGAGCTGGATGCAATTGTTCTCTATGCTCAAGCAAGGGTATTTCATTTGAAACGAATGAACAGTTTCACTAAAGAGAGGGAGCGGGCAGCTGGTCATAATTTGCAGATAGCATCATGGCTTGCTCTCTTTGTATCGGATCATTTTGGTGGTAGTGATAGAAATGCTATTGTTGAAAAGATGAGAAAAACAGCATCTGGTATGAACTACAGCAAGCCTTTTGTTTGTACCTGTTCGACTGGAAATAGTGACACTAACAACAGTAGTACATCTACAAAGATTCTAGACACTGTAGAAGATATATTTTTTTCTGATCTCTGTGAGAGTTCTTTACGGTCTATAAAGACGAAAAGGAATAACATTGTAGTTCCTATTGGAGCACTGAAGCACGGTGTTTGTAGGCACAGGGCACTACTCTTTAAGGTATTGTTTGCTCTTTGTTTGAATATATCCATTTATTTTGCATGAGTTGCACCTTTAGATTGTACTTATCAACAGCTGCTATAACTTATTTTATTGCAGTATCTATGTGATCGAATGAAGCCACCAATTCCATGTGAGCTTGTCAGAGGTTACTTGGATTTCATGCCTCATGCATGGAATGTTATTGTCATCAGGAGGAATGATTCATGGATCCGCATGGTAGTCGATGCTTGTCGTCCACATGATATAAGAGAAGAGACGGATCCTGAATATTTTTGCAGGTCATCCCTTTTAGTTGATATATGAATTGTCTTGTTCTGCATTAAGAAATATGCTTATGGATATTAGTATATTACCTTTAAGTTCTTGAGTTGTCTGTCTGTTCCCTACCATTCAATTTGGTATAGCCATGTAGATATCAAGGTTCATCAAAAATGCTGTGCGTTTGTAAGTTGTAAATCTATGGCCACAATATTTGACCCTTCAGAGTGTAATCTAATGTTTAATTGATCATTCAACCTAAACGGTAAAACATGAGGTCTTTTAAGGTGTTGCAAGTTAATCTCTAAACTAGTGACTATCAGTAGTCTTATTAATTATTATGCATGTTCAAGCCCATTTTTGTATTTTGTGATTGTTAAACATGCTTAATTTTCTATTTAATAAATGCTTTTTAAGATATAGGTTTTAATTTCTAATTTTTAATTTTTATTTATTTATTTATTATAATTTTGCTATAGTTCTTATGGGTACTTAATATTACAGGTATGTTCCTCTTAGTCGGGCAAAGTTT